ACACGCCATGGGAGACAAAGGCAGACAAGGGGAGACAAAGCAAAGTCATCTCAGCCCAGCATCCAGACACGCCATGGGAGACAAAGAGGGACAAGGAGAGAACGCAGACACGCCATGGGAGACAAGGGGAGACGAAGGGAGACAAAGCAAAGTCATCTCAGCCCAGCATCCAGACACACCATGGGAGACAAAGGGCGACAAAGGGAGACAAAGCAAGATCATCTCAGCCCAGCATCCAGACATGCCATGGGAGACAAAGGGGTACAAAGCAAAATCATCTCAGCCCAGCATCCAGACATGCCATGGGAGACAAGGGGAGACAAGGAGAGACAAAGCAAAGTGATCTCAGCCCAGCATCCAGACATGCCATGGGAGACAAGGGGGGACAAAGGGAGACAAACCAAAACATGCCATAGGAGACAAGGGGAGACAAAAGGGAGACAAAGCAAAATCATCTCAGCCCAGCATCCAGACACGCCATGGGAGACAAGGGGAGGTGAAGGGAGACAAAGGAAATCATCTGAGCCCAGCATCCAGACATGCCATGGGAGACAATGGGGGACAAAGTGAGAGAAAGCAAAATTATCTCAGCCCAGCATCCAGACATGCCATGGGAGACAAGGGGAAACAAAGCAGACAAAGGGAGACAAAGCAAAATCATCTCAGCCCAGCATCCAGACATGCCATGGGAGACGACAAAGCAAAATCATCTCAGCCCAGCATCCAGACACGCCATGGGAGACAAGGGGAGACAAGGAGAAACAAAGGGCAGGAATCATCTTGGCCCAGCATCGTTTCTATGCAAGAATTGGGAACCCCTCACAGCAAAGCTGTTTAAAAAGCGGTACTGATAAATCGAGACACGCTTCCTCAAGAAAATCATGAGAGAGAGGTATATAGATGTGTGTGAACGCACAGATACGCAGAGGAATCTCTCTCTCTCTCTCTCCCCTGCTTTTTTTCCAAAGCTCATCTGCCGCAGCGCCCCACCCCGCAACCGTCTCATGAGCTCCAACCCCACCGCATGTCCCGCACGTTGGGCCACCAGCGCTGCCAGAAGAGCTGTGACCACCGGTGCCTCGACGGAGGTCACCTCCGTCGAGACCGTGATGCCGCGCAGGGCCGCCGCCCACTGGCTCCGCCACGTGCAGGCCGTGATCAGGGAAGCACGGCCCAGCTCATCAAGCTCCAAGTCAACTCCGCTGATCGCGCTCGAAAGCACCAGGCTCCGCTCCCAAGAGGCAGCCTTCGCCAGAGCTTCCAGGGCCACATTGACGCTGATTCCATCAGTCTCAATGCCCAAGGCCGGCGCCAACAGCAGCGCAGCAAAGCGCCACCTGCCACCCCACGACCTATACTCAAAAACCACCGAATGACCAACATTGAGTGAACTGCGTATCGCAGTTCTGTTAGTACCAGCCCCCTTCTGCATCAGGGGGGCCGACGTCGTGCGAGGGACCAAATTGACCAACATCGCTGGATGTTCCTTTTCTCCGGTTCACATGATTATGTTGCTTCCTGAAGAGGAGCAAAAACGGAGAAAAAGTCGTCATGTGTGTGTGGATGAATACATGTATACAGTGCACTCCTCTAAGTGTATACAGCACACTTTCTCCCGATCTTCTTCGCCAGGGCACCGGTGGCCCTCGCCCAACGCCGTCGCCGCCGCGTTGAGCCCCGAGCTGTCGGTCGTCTCGGTCGACGGGCCGATGTGGCTGGGAACGCGCCGCGCCGCCGCCAGGAGCTCCAAGGCGAGCGGCCAGGTGCGAACTAAGGACGAGAGCCCCGAGTTGTAGCTGGTGGAATCCAGTTCCACACTCCAAGCATCAACTCCTCACATTGGGATGGAGGTGGCGGACTGTTGGTAGGGTTTGGGAGGGCTTGGGAGCTGAAGCATAACAAACGTGCGGCAGATTTAGCCGCATAGGAAGTCCTTCCCTTGCTTTAGGTGCTTCACTATACATGTCCCTCACTTATATGATGTCACTGGCTTAAGCCTTCATCGCAGACTCTTCGAACAAATACCTCATATACTTCATACTGAGCGATATAGACTCCTGTTCCCAGCTCCCAACTCCGGACGTGCCATTTCGCTCCCGTCCCTCCTTGAAGGAGTTGCATCGCCTGCGGCCACACGTGGCTCTTCGCACAGGAGGACACCGCAGCATTCGCCAAGACCGTGCTGCAAGAAAGGTCGGCCGCACGGGCCCCCGGCAGCAGGGCCATGGCCGATTCCTGGGAAGGCACTGGTGGAAGAGGCACATCAAGCTGTCCGGATGGAGGAAGGCAAGGCAAGGAAAAACAAACATGGAATTTGTCCCTATATGTCTTTTTGGGGGGGACGGTGTGGTCAAAGAAACGGACCAAAGACAAAAAACAAAAGGATCAAAGAACGGGAAATTATCCAAACATACCGAAACAGCCTTTATTAAGCAATCCGATGATTCCCAAAAGTTCCCCTTCTCACAAACGTTGCAGGCGGCACCATATACAGTGACATCCAGCCTTACCTGTCGATGGCGAGCCTGCTTGAGCAAGTCCACACTCTTCCAACAACTCTCGCCTTCACATGAAGAAATGGCAGCGCTGTAGATCTGCTCATTGGTGAGATCATCATCCAGGCTGTCCAGAAGCTTCAGTGACAATCTGCTTTGGCTCGCACGGGCCAAGGCAGTCATCGCCGCACCAAAGCTTACCACATCCGCTTTACCTTTCATCTGCACATCCTCCAGGAGCGCCAAGCTCGTGGGCCAATTGCTTTCAAAACCCAAAGAGCTCAAGGCAGCATTGCACGCGATCGAGGAGAACACAGGGTAGTTCCCCCTGCCCTGCACCACACCCGCGAGACTCTCCTCCCAAGCCAGCTGTCGGCTGTAGGAGCTGATCAATGTGTTGGAAGTGACCACATCGGGCTCCGCCGCATTCTGCCGCATCAAGCGCAACAATCTCTGCACGTGCGCAGCATCCGCAAAGGCGCAAGCTCTGAATGCACTGTTGAAAGCGATGACATCGGGCCTCTCCAGGCGGGATTTGACTTTCATCAGAGCGGACTCACTTCTGATACACAAAACCATTCCCAGCGGATCCCAGTTACCACTCACTATGTAAGGAACCAGGGTTTCTAGGTCTACTACGGTTTTAGTCTTTGGAACCACTTTTGTGGGATTGATTTGTGTTAGATGGGAGATCCTCGACCCCTGTTAGACACCTGGAAACGTCCCTGTTAGACACCATGGCAATTCCCTCCGATCACCCCCAATCCAAACTGGCCAAACCACCAACCACCCGAAGCCTCAAGGACTCACCAAACAGCTGCTCCAAGATCAAGAAGGCTCGTGGCCACTCAGCCTCCCTTGGTGCCACAGCCGCCATCGCCGCGCTCTGCCCCACCACCGTGCCGCCCACGCTGCGCAGCTCGCGTGCGCCACGCAGCAGGCGGAGGCAAGCTGCCCAGCGGCCGCCCTTCTCACAGGCGCTGACCGCAGAGTTCAGCAACCTGTATGGAAAGAGTCTGAGAGCCCCCCAAGTTCAATGGCAAAACTCTAGATGAAGACTCTTCTTTAAGCCTTTCCGACACGAATCAGAAGTCACAGGTGTTGTGAGCAGTCTTTGGCTCAAAACAAAAAGTATGATAGAATCAGATCATTGTAACTGTAAAACATATTAACTATATATAAATATGCATATAGAGAAAAAGCGGGGTGCCTGTACTGTGTGCGTGCACACCATCATATCCAACAGTCCAGCTAAGCAACACTTCATTGATTTCACCCAGACCCGCCAGCAGGCTCACCGCCCAAGACCACTGCGCCGCCCGTTCGGTGGCACTCAACGCGGCACCGAAGACATAGGCATCGGCGCGCAGGTGCACGGCACGCAGCAGCTCCACGAGGCCCAGCGCCACCGTCCAGCACGAGGCCCGCGCCGCGGCGCTGATGGCCCGCGTGGGCGCCGCCAGCGGGTGCGGCGCGGCGTCGACCGCGGCGCGGCGCAGCGCGGCATGGACCGCGGCCAGGGCCTGGAGCCAGTCGGAGCGTGGAGCCATGGGGATGGTTGGGGAGATGAATTCTGACAGCTGGAGCCAAAACAGGCGACTCAAATGCAAAAATGTCCCACAGTCTCCACGCGCAGTGCACACAGAAATTGCCTATACCATCCTATACCCTATACCTACTCAATTCCCCCCCCCCCCGACCCCCCATCGCAAAGGACACAGCCAGCGATTCTGAGCCCCCACGCCATTCTGAGCCCCCTGTGATCCCTCCATCTCCTCCTTCACTGGCAGTGTCAGCTTCACGGACCGGCTCAGCACCTCCACCCGCTCCACCCGCTCCACCCGCTCCGGCTTCGGCGGCAGCGTCAAACTCCCCGCGCCCGGCGCCACCGGCCGCGCGGGCGGCGCGGCCGCCGAGCGCGGCAGCGCCGGAACCGTGCCGGCCACGGGGCGCGCCACCGGGGCACCATGGAGCGACAGGGCCGCGACGGCCTGGGAGGGAGAGGCGTGGGACCGGCGTAGCGCCGGTCCAAAGAACATGGTCGGTAGAAGAAAAAGGCTCCGCAGTGGGGAGGTGAAGCAGTCTGTTGGAGCAAATCCTTCGCAAGAATTTCGAGAGGAAAAGGAAAAGCCAAGCCTGCGGGTTCAGATGTCCATTCACTTGCTTGGCTCCATGAGCAGTTTGCCTCGAGAGTGAGCTGCGAAGATGGACCCCGCACGCGATCACCGTCGGTGTTCGGTCATTGGTCGGTAAGGTGACAGAACTCTGCGAAGTCAGTGGGCATGATCACCATGTCACAGTTTCGAGTTCCAAAATGCTGATACTCAAAAACCATACATCAGATTATACATGGACCATCCCGAAGTGGTCCCCCGGCTTTGGGATCCATCCATGAGTAGCTGCCTCGCGCCGCAGTAGCGTTCGCCGTCCCCCGGGCCTCTGGATCTGCTGCTTGGTGCCTGGGGTCGTCCACCGCGGGGCGTGATGGGACGGAGGCGTCAACCAGAATCACTGTGGCATGTAGGTGAGAAAACACCATGAGGAGGTGTGATGAACTTTCAATGTGAAAAAACACGAACAACTCTCAATCATCTACATGAAATCATTATGTAAGACTCAAAAGGCCCCCAAAAACAGCAAAAAACACTCAACCCCAACAAGCACGTGCGTAACACTGTAACACCCACGGTGTCGTTGCCGAGAAGTGCCACCCGCTTCTGCCTCAAACGTCAAGGGGGTTGCTGGGCCAAATGAACGAGCCGGCCAGGGGTCACGAGGTCTATCACAAACCTACAACTATGACCACAACCAGATCCGCAATCTGAAAGTCAGTCCCTGGAAGAAAGGTCCCTCAAAGCAACGCTCTAGCCTCCACACCAGGTATATAACCCCCAAGGACATAGTATCATGAAAGCCCAAGCCGCGAAGGATTAAAAGCTGCTTGGCGGGGCAAACCACGCCCATTTCACGGCGTCTGGCGGATGCTTTCACCGCTGTAGGAACCCGACCGATCACCCCCCTAACAGAGCGATCGAGAAGCTTTCGATCTGCTGCATCAAGGAGTTCTGCAGTTTCGTGACTTGCTGGAGGATCACCTCAGCTCTGCCCAGAGTTTCTGCTGCAAGCTCCCACCCTTGCAGGGCGTCCGCAGCGTTCGGGGTCTGGTTTACTCAACTGGCGTCTGGCCGTTGGCATCCGTTGGCCGCTACAATGACTTCCAAGACGCAAGTTAACTGCATGCAGCATGTGCAGCATGCATAGTCTAGAATCTAGAATCTCTAGAAGTCGAAGTACTTACAGAATTTATGCCGAAACCAAGGCGGAATGACCACCGCACCACTGCACCCACCCCCTTGTGAAAGACTCCACTGGTGGCGTTCGATGAGCCGGCTCCCGCGTGAGCCAGACGGTTTGGGATCTGATTGTGGAGTCTTCCTCCCCCCCCCATCCACCCCCCTAGACTTCCTTAGTTGATTCGGGATTCAGCCTATGAAATTAATGGTGGTTGGAAGTCTGGGGACCCTGGTTCCGGAACTCATCCTTCAATGCCGGGCACCACCCACGGCTCTCCTCTCTCCTCTCTCCTCCGGCCTCATCCGTCTCCTCCCTGCGCCCATTTAGCGCGAGGCTGGAGACCAGAGGCACCTGCGGGCAGGTGGGGGGCACCGGTGGGGTGTTGGAAGGAGTGGGGAAGAGTGGGTTGGATCACCGAAACCCGGTATACACCGTACACTGCCTGAAATCATGGAAGTGGATGACTTGGCCCCTTGGATTGCCTTGGATGACCCTCTTCCGAAGACCAAACGTCGTGGTGTTCCACTTCACTTCCATCTGGTGGAGTGTAAACGGCCTGGATGAGTCGACGGGCCCATGCGCGACCGGCGCCCTGGTCACCACTCGTCGCACTACCAGTTGGTCGAAACACCGCGACACTGCTTGGTGTGCAGAACATGTGTCAAACCTGCCCCCAAAACCACTCAAGCCGGCCCCCAAATCAGAACTGCCTCCATACAACATGTCCAGAGTGAACACCCCTCGCTAAGCACATGCACATGCAGCGCGGAGCAACTTTTCCATGACTGCTTTCTGTGAGTGAACAGCTTATGTGATTCTCTCTATGACTTGTGTGACTATGATCCTCTCTCGTGCTGGCGATGTCTTACAGCTCCGGACATTCCCCGAGGGAAGTGTACTTCACGATGACCTCACTACCAGCGTGCGACACACAACCCCTCCATGCGCATTCCGGAATGTCACAAAGAGCTCCTTTACCTCGTCCCAACAAACACTTGACTACGAAGTGGGCCTGTAGGCTGTCCACCAACGACTGGTTTACATCAGAGATGCCTGTCTCGGCCATGAGTCCTGCCAAAATATCGGCTTCATGATAATACTTGTCGTGCAGTCTCTGCATTGACAAATCAGAGGTCTGCCATTCGACACTTGCACATTGTGCTTCCGATATCTTCTCAACATAGTCATAATCATTCACCAACTTTTGGCGGGGCATGTCGTAATAACCGTTCAAGTGGCAGTAGATGTCCACGATTGGGTCGACATAGTCACGAATGGTCAGGAGCGAACCATTGGGAAAGCGGAGCGTCTTGGGCGTTGCATTCTTCTTGATGGGCACCGCACTTTCCTGTTTATAAACCTCGAAGTAAGGCCGCACGTCTCGAAGCTTGTGGCACGCTGCGCAAGCACTGATGCATGGGTCCACAGCACCAAACACGCACCATCCGTCCTCTTCGGGGTGTTTTCTTAACACATCAAGGATAGGCTGTCTCAGGTACTCTTTAGGCAAATCGGCCATGCACACGCCGCCCAGCGCAGCCCAATTCGTTGCATTCGCAACACCGACAGCGACCTGCAATTGCAAATGGGACATATGGCAATCATCGTCGCATTCTATGGGCTGCGCTGCAAGTGGCTGCGCTGCAAGTGCCATGGCCATGGAAAGCGCCATGAAAGCCATGAAGGCTATGTGGCTACAATCCCGTGGCTTTACCTGCTCTTCATGCTAATCCATGTGGGCTCAAGTGATCTCAAAGTGCCCATACGGCTGCAACATGCTGCAACAATCTGCACGTTTCAGGCAACCGTGTCATGAACCCGAACTCAAAACACAGCATAAACAAAATTGTTTTGACAAACCAATGGGTTTTGCCAATCGTTTCATAATTCATAAAAGAGGCGGCTGTGTTTCTACTTCTTGCTCTCTCTCTCTCTCTCTCTCTGTGCTACGGTAAGATCATCAAAGTAAGCTCAAGGTGCGCATGAACCGGTTCTGCTCACTTTGCTCCGGAGTCTCCCTCTTTCAACATCTCTCTTTAGCTGCCACGTTCTGCGGGCCATTTCGTCATCTTCGCTCGTCCGGCAGCGAACTGAGCGACTTGACTGGTACATGTGACGGCTACAAGCACGAGAAGGAGTCCCATACCAGCACCTTCCAACAGGTCTCCTCTGGAGCTTTTGTAGACATAAAAATCGCGGATGACCTGTTGGAAGGTCCTGGTAGAAGACCCCATTTTCGACCAAGTCCTCCTCGGGTTCTTTCTCATCTGGTCCGACTGTGAGCAGTCCGGTCAGTCCGTCTGAAACGGCGGGAAACGGTCTAAGACCTGAAAAAACCGGCAGAAGCATGGTCAGATCGGTCAGAAGCGCGGTGAAACTTGAACCGAAATCGAGTGAGTATATGTTGTCTTTTTCCATTTGTCCCTTTTTTCGTCCGAATTGAAGCTGAAGACAACTGAACCAATGTTCCATTTAATGAAATGTATACAGTATACTGTATGATTTGTCCATGTTTCCATATTCCGCAACGAAGCTGCGGACGTTGGAGACCCAGTCAGGCCCCACGTCCAGGCCTTCGAGAGCAAGGACCTGGGCCAAGGGATATGGGAAGCTGAAGGGTGCATCAATCAATTGGAAACTTTCCAACCGGGGACCCTCATCAGCAGGTGATTCAGACTGCTCATCTCTATCTCTCTCTCTATCTCTCTCTCTCTCTCTCTATTGCCTTGAAGCAACACCCTTCCCATCTTTCCACTCACCTGACTCACCTCACTCCTCCGGACGCCCAGCCAACCCTTCTGATCTCCGGACGCCGGTTGGAGCCGCACCGGCGCAGCCTCGGCACACAACGGCCGCCGGAATTAGGACCGATGGAAAGCCTGAGGCTTCATGAGAGGTTCTTTTTTCATGAATCCACCTATCATGAGGCGGAATTTGGTGAACATGAAGACTGAGTCAAAGAAGAAAACCAAACAGAAAGAACAACAGATGTACCCGCAACTCTTGCTTGGGGCGCGGTCGTGGCCTCGTGACCCAAAAGGCACGGGAGTGTGCTGAAAGAACACCTCTCACACCTACAAAACCAGCCACACATTCCAGGATTTTCTCTGGAGCTGGAGGCAGTCTCAATGGACCTCCTTGGAAGGCATAGTTTCTGAAGACTAGTTTCTCAATACAGCACCATTTCTGAATACGACTTTGTTCCTCCTTGGAACCTCCGTGGAGGCTTCTCTGTGAGGGAGGCTGGAGAGACAGTGCCCCGTCTGGGCCCCCGGACGGCAGAAGCCTTGCAGGCAGTGCGAATGGGGCCTCAAATGGTGAGCGCCGGACATGCAAAAGGCCGCGATGGTTCTGCGGACTGAAGAATACAAGCATGTTGTTGTGTTGTTTTTTGGGGTGATGTGAGTGGTGGTGAGCGAACAAATAGGCAAGTGCAAAGTGCAAAGTAGAAGCGTTTCTACAATGTCATGTTGTGATTTGCTGCCTTCTGGATGCTTGCTCCTTGGTGTATATCTTTTTCCGTTTTGCTGACCACTGCTGTCAATCCTGTGCACCGCCAACACGAGATCAGACCGAGCGGATGCTCCTTGGGATGAAAGACCCGACGAATCCGAAAGGAGGATCGGACGCCGACGCACGCAGCCGCCACACGCACGAATAGCTTGGGAAAATGCAATGAGAGTATACTTACTTATAATTAGAGTACTTCGACTTCGACCCCAGTTGAACTCTGGCTTGGCCTATTAGGAGCCAAAACATTGTCATGTTATATAAATCACCTGCATCTAGAGCTCCAAATGAATTCGAGGCTCATTCGGTCCCACCGTCGCTTCGCTGGTGCTTTTCGGTGTGTTCCGCCGTCAACTCGCTCTGCGTGCCGGGCTCATCCGTCGCGCCGTCCGGGCGGTGGCCAAGGGCACCTCCGTCCCCTCGGACCTCGGTGCCGCCGGTGCCCGGGCTGCTGGGTAGAGGATGGGTAGAGGCCTCAGCCCCTGCCTCCCGGTAGCGCCTGGCAAAAAGTAACGATAACCTAGGCATCACATGCCGCATCGCGCATGAAAATAACCTACCTGGGAAGCCAAACAACCAGAAACAAATGGATGTTTCCCCAAACAGCCATTTCCTATGTAAAGGATTTCAATTGCCATATTGGAACAACCATTTGTTTCTGGTTGTTTGGGTTTCCAGGTAGGCAAGTGCAAACTGGACATGAAAAAAAAATGTTCCTTTCTTCCGACCCCTCCAACCCCTGGAACGCCAGCAGCTCAAGCTGCGTTTCAACTCCACCCAGGCGAGGCGGTCTCTTCACGGAACGAAGGGGGGCGGAGGGCGCTCTTGGTCCGAAGCAGCCAGAGATCAGCGGGCGCGCGGTGGGTGGGAATCGAAGCGGACCCAAACATGGAACGCCCCGAAATCAGGGACGCAAATCCCGGCATTGGGAGTTCAACCGGCTCGGTGGGCACTGGAGTGGGCACGGACGAAAAAGGCTTGCAAAAGGATCCGTTTTCGGGAGACGATCGGGCTCCTGTTCCGAGCTGGATCTTGCGGAAAGCAATTCCATGCCTTCCAACCGACGTCACACGCCATTGGGGCTCCCAAACGTCCCGGAGACTTGCCGGCTGCCAATCACACCTGGTGGACTCTTAAATGATCTTAAATGCTTCACTCGGCATCTGGGTGATTGTGGAAATTTCTGGAGCTCTGCAAATAGAATTGACATCGGGAAGCTGGTGAAACGCCTTCCAAGCATCGGAGACTCTCCAGTTTCTGTGGAGGGGGGGGGGTCACCGGTGGGTGTCTACCGTGGGTCACGCCCGAACACCGCGGCCTGCGCATGGAAGCTGCTGCACCTCGACAGTGACGGCCGAGGTCGCGACAGCACGTCGCTGAAACGGAAAAGGTCACCAACAGAGGCCTCCAAAGATGGGTCACGAACTGAAGAAGCTGGAGGAACCTCCGGGAGTATGGCGTAGCAAACAAGAAGGGAACAAGCCAAGCCACAGGCGCCCATATTGGTGAAGGGGATGCGTTGGAGCAAAACCACGGAGGTGAAATGGAGCCACACCCACTCCAGGATTCCTCCCCAAGAACATCATGCGCTCCATTTGGAGCCTGAAAGACTTCCACTCAGCTCCTGGCGAAGCACCTTCGATCTGCACTGCCTGGGCGCGGGCAGATCACATCCGGATTTTGAAGGTTGGTTTCTGTCACCGTTTCTGTTGGAGCTCCAGCCAAGCAAATGATCAGACGGGTCAACGCACACTCACACAACAGCAAACCAGAAAATTGCTCTCAACAGCTCCAGCCAAATTGCCTAATGTGCTCTCTTCTACCCACTTCTGCATTTGCCAAGGCCTTCCTTCACTGCGAACCTGCTGCTTCACCCCGAGTGTCCCAACTCGATCGGTGCACCGTTGGCACGACCGCCTTAGAGCGGGGAAGGCGGGAGAAAGCGCACCAAGGTGGAACACCCTGGCCCAATTGGCACGTTTGAAAAATGTGGAAGCCCCCTACACGCCAGTGCTTTAGGGGTTCCAACTGCTCTACATCATCCTGGCAATGGAGCTGGGAGTGGGAGTTCCAATCCTGGTCGAACCATTTAAAAACGAAACTTTATAGATTTATAGACTTTATAGATGTGCACTTCTTGAGTGGGGAACGTTTATCCCCAGAACGGAGGACAAGTTCAGCATCAACTGCCAACATCAACTGCCTGCATTCATCTAACAATGAATCCTCCGTTGCTTGGCATCAACAGACCCAACTGGGTCACCTTCGGACCGAACATTGGATCCTTCTGTCAGTGTCACGCCGACTCAAAGCTGCCCTCCTATCCTCCAGCCCGGGGCGCCATCAGGGGGCCTAATGCCTTTGGATTCCTCGGCCACCCGGACGGTGTGCGTGGTGTTAAAGGTCCTCCGTACCGAAGGCGGCCTCGGGGAGGGGGGCGAGGCCCCGGACCGGTGTGTCCCGGCCAGTCCAGCGCAGGTCCCGGCGGTCTCTGTTGCACGACGGTTTTGGGTTCGGGTCCGGACCCCTGCTATGGAGGGTCTGGCCTCCCTGTTCCACATGTACTAGTCAGAATTGGCCAACCATCTCGTATCATTCAAAGTGGATCCAGGAGAAATTCTTTTCCCTGGCGAGTTTGGAGGATGTTCGCCAAGACCAGCAGTGAAGGATGGAGATGCTCAATCCGCGGTATTGTGGAGGCGGCTTGCTTCAGGATACATACAGGTTCATATTGTTCCTAGTATCTTCTTGTTGCTCGTATATCGTAATGCCGTTCGTAGCATCCTTGCTCCGGTCGGTTCGCGATGCCCTTTGGTTCCACGACGCGGAACGAGGGCCCTGCGGAACGCGGTTGGGAACTCCCAACTGCATCGAAGGTCCTGGAGCCGTGAAGGTGATCAAAACACCCAGCATTGGAAGGGATCACTCCACCAAGCGAAAGCCATCAACAAAGCCATCATCAAGGTTGAACATCGTGTCATCTAACTCTGGATCTCAGTCTCGTCTCCTAGAAGCACGAAGAGGTTCAGAAGCACAAGGGGGTGATTTGGTGCAATGCCGTCTGAAAACCGCTCATACCCCCAGCCGTGAAACACGTGAAACACGATGTCAAACCAACATTGCTTCATCCACGTCCGACCTTGAAAACCCCCCAAAAAAAAAGTCGGACGAAGACCGAAAACCCGAACCAACAAATAGAAAAAGGTTAAAAAGAGCCCCCCGCCATGCCGAGTCCCGGAACCACCGGCCACACCTGCTTGAAATGGAGCCTTCAGCACCATCCGAGCTTCGGACCTCAGCCGCGGCCGCTCCGCCCTCGTCCGCCGTCGCCGGTCCCAGTCCGCTGCCGGGGCGCCCGGGCGGCACGGCACCTCTCCCTGGCGCCACGGGGGACTCAGAGTACCGCGGAAGGCGGAAGGGGGGAAGACTCAAAAAGGTCCTCGTGAGCCAATGGGCAGTGGAAATGACCTACGAATTGGGTTTCTCTTGTGCTTCATCCCCACAAAAACATACTGGAAGTCTCCACAGGCTGAACTCTTTACATTCTTGAACTCCCAGCTGGCTTGGGAGGGCTCAAAAGGATCAGAACAGCAGCCCCTGACGCAGGCTCGTCTCGACCGGTGCCTGCAGGAATCTGCTGAGGAGTCGAGATGCCAGGCCTTAGAGGACGCTCTCAAAAACGGAGAAAAAGAAACACGAATGCCCAACTGCAACGCGAACGGAACCAACTGCAAGGGTTGTGGGGTGCGAACTCTTGCTGCTTTCTTGGCGAACGGAGCACGAAGAAGAGGGATGTTCTCGGTTTGGCTTCAACAGGCCGGTCCGTGGAAAGAGATGAAAGCCGGTCTTTCTTGGGAAGATCGTGGACACTTCCAGTTCTTTTGGGCCTCTTGTTTTTGAGCGGGCTTCCGATCTTAGACCGTACCAGTGAGATACTACGAGTGAGATGATGAAAGGAGGACGGACTCAGGAGGCAAACTGGTGAAAGTCGTAGACGTCAACGTTGAAGTATCAGGGAGTGGGCATGAGGGTTAGGCAGCCATGTGACAGGGCGAAGAATTGATACCAGGAAATGATTGCAATGCCTGCGAGGGCTGTCTGTGTGGCATGCTCATCATTGCAAAGGCTGTGCAAGTCGGTAGTCTTGAGACATGCAAGTTGAAGGACGAAAGGTTGGTAGAGCATCAGAGCATCGTGAAATGCAGCAGGAAAGTCTGAAGAAAACCATTTTGAGAAGACTGGACGATGACCAAAAACGGGTCCTTCCCCAAATGAATTCTGGATGTTGATGCGACCGCCCCACCCCTTTCTGTAAAGCGACCCGTCAAAACGCACGCGCTCGAAAACGCCAGCGTCCAACAGGCCCTCCGGCCCGGTCGTGGCCTCAAACGGCGGTGTGGTCAAGCTCTGTGTGTATGTATATATATATATATACCCTAGGATTCAAACAACCATTGTTTTAATGGTCTGTACCAAAGAACCATTGTATTTACTAAGGATTTTTACACTACACCACCAGCTCAACCGTTCTTTTAATGGTCTTTGAAGGCTAGGGTATATATATATATATATAGACCTGGACCATCCTGTCTGGGTGTCCAATGGACATCTCTAAGTAGTGTAGGGTAGTCCATTGGTCGTCCTGGTATATACCGGTGAGTGTTGTTTTGGAACAACAATTTAGACATATATCACATGTGAATACACATCCAAAACTCCAAGAAAAAGAAACAATAGACAGCACCACCACATCTGTTGAGGGAAGTCTTCTTTTCAACCCCCCCCTTTTTGCCACTTCCTCTTGGTCTAGAAGTGTGCGTACTTCAAAGTCACTCCTTCACCGAGCTCCTCTTCCCTGCGGCCCATGCGGAGAGGTTCACCATCTCAACTCGACCTCAAACACTACTTGCTGAGGCCACATGAGGTGAAAGGCCTCCAGGTGAGGAAAAGGCCTTTGCCAAACTGTTGGGGGTCTGTGACTGGTCTCGACCTGAAAGTCGATGGGTCCGACGCCGGTCTTTCGTACCTCCGTCGGGGTACCCTTCTCGCCGGTGACCCGTCTTGCGACGGTCGATGCTCGTCTTGCGCACGGGTTCCGGCAACGCTGTTTTTGTTCGGCCTCATTGAGGGGAGGAGAGGGAGACAAAAATCCATTCAGGAGTTCAGTCGGGTCTGCAGAACTGGGCGAAGGCACTCTGGCACTTGCGAAAATCGAATTCGCTGGGATCCCGAAACCCAATCAGGAGGAGAGGGAAGGTTGCTGAGAACTCAACATCTCAGCGGGATCCATGGTCCAACCATCAGGCAACAGGTCAAAAGTTGAACCATCGTAAAGCCAGAGTGGATTTGCAGGACACATCCAAAGTTGAACCCCACGCCATGAGCTCTTTTTGGCACGATCCTCGGGATGATAATTCTCCCATACAGTGGAGTGACGAAAATTGCTTTTGGACTAGGTGACTAGAGGTGTGGTCCTCACATGTTTCGCCGATCCCTTCTGTGATCCTTCCCCCCATGCCCATCGCCCATCCTTCAACCAACTCCCTTCCCTTCCGCCTCTCTGGTTCACAGGGCTGGCTCTCGGGCTCCCCTGGAGCAAAACCGCCGGAGCTCCAACCGCGGTTCACCAGATACCAGCGGGTGGCATTTGGGTTTGGACCCGGAGTGGCCACCCACACCGACACCGTGATGGTCGGAGCCTCATCTCAAGGATGAGAAAAACGTGCTCCACCCGATCTGCCTGAGCCCCAAAGGGTGCCTGAATCAAACACGTCTCAAGGTGGTCCTCACCTATACAAGAAAACCTATTTACTATTCTCCAACGAACATGCAAGTGGACAAGCCCTGTAGAGGAAAATTGTCTTTCCAGTGGTCATGTTCCACTTCCATGATTGTTGAAGGGAGTGCTTCCTTTTGTTTTTAATTTGCGAGGCTTAAAGTCTGCTTCAAAGTCCTCCGTTTTGCAGGACTGGCGAGGTTTGCTTTATGGTGGGATATATAGTTTTTGTTGTATATGTAAATTGTAGGACCCAAATAATTACCGGTATGTCGTTGGTACCAAGAAACTCCCCCCCGAAAAAAGTCGTAGAAAGTGGTACCTCCAGGTGCCGTTTCGCTCGTTTCTCAACACCGGCCTGGAGGTGCGTCAGGGGCGGCGGCGAGCGCACACGTGCGCTGGCCATGGCCTCGCGGATTCGTGAAGAAAGTGGCAAGAAGTTTGCATGTTCATTCGTTTTTTCTTCAGTTTGTTCTTGAAATGTTGGCTTTTTTGGTCCCGGTCTATATGATTGTGTTTGGGGAGTTGGAAACGCTTTGTGCAACAAGAGTGGTCTTTAAAGGAAAATTGAGATGTTTGTGACAGTTTGTGTTTTTTTGGTCTTAAGTGTTTAAGATGTTTGAGGCTTTTCCCTTTTGATGGTTCTGGGAGTCTTGAAAACGCCAAAGATATCATATTAAGTGCCTTCCCTTCCCGGATTCCCTTCCTTCCTTCCTGCCTTCCTTTCTTGGTCAATTTTGTTAGGGGCAAATGAGTGGAGAAGCCCTCTTCCAAAGGTGAGGCACTTGGACAATGGTGGCAGCACTGCTGGACCAATCCTTCTACAGATCCAAAGGTAAAACCCACTGAGACATGTGGGGGTCTGTGCTCCGCTGAGATGTACATTGTTTCAAGGCATCAGTCTACATCCGAGTCTCTCCATGCGCTCTCCAAATAGCTGTGTCTCGGACTTCCCACAGGACCGCATGGCTTTCGTTCTTCCACCACTTCCAGGGCTCACTCTCACCTCCGGACGAAACCTATGGAAGCTGGTGAAAGATGTGAAAGAACCACATGCATTCATTCACTCACTCACTCACTCTCTCTCTCTCTCTCTCGGTCGGCACCGCCGGAACGTTCTCCGCACGCCCGGGAAGCACATCCGCAGCCTGCAGGTCGCACCTCGGGTCGCTGGGCGACAGCCGGCGACGGCCGCGCGGCGGCGACGGCCTTTCGCATCGCTTCGGTGGATAGAAAAGTAGATCCCCACTACAAATGAGTTAGATGAGCTTTTGGGGGACCACTATAGTCTGTTCAGGTCCCTTGGTCACATGAGGAATCACCTGAGCGAAGTCAACTGCGTAGGAATTAGAGCAGAGCCATCCAGAATCCAGAGTAGAGGGTTCGCAATGAATTGATGTGAGGTCTGAAAGGTGTTTATTGAACTTCCTTGAAGGAAAACGCTAGAACACAATATATATATATATATATACTGAGCGCAAATGACTTAGGAGTAGTGGGTACTAGTGAGTCAGGAGTATCCCCCAGCAACTCCCATGTCACCGCACAAACCACAGCAAAACAAAGGGATACAGTACTACCCAGAGTGCCACACTGATGACATAGGAGTTGGAGAGGTGCCAAGCACCCACGTCATGTGGAATACCAGCATCAAAAAAAAACAAGACATGCCAAGAAAGGATGTGTTTGGCCAGTTTTCCTAGAGCGGCGCCTGATGACATAGGACTTGAACACCTATGTATTTGAAGCTTTTTCCTGATGGCTTAGGTTTCACTTGTTTCGCCTACCTCCGACAAGTCCTGGGTCACTAGTCCTCAGTATATACATGAAAACTGCGTGAAACAAACCTGGAATGTCTGCCAACTTGCCCCTGAATTACTTTCCCCTCGTCACTGCCCCAAGGTTCTTGGCATCTTCTCTGCTACGCCGAGCAGGACACCTCCTCTGGGGCGTCCGCATTGACTTGGCGTTGCGGGCGATGGTGATGGCCACCGGGCATCCGCCGCCCAGCATGGTGCGGAAGCCTCGGCTGCGTCGCAGCGCATGACGAGCCCTGTCCGTCTTTCGCTTTTCGCAGTGCACGTGGGTTCGTTCGCCTGAAGAAACAAGGAAGTGTGGAAACAAGGTGAGCGGGTTTCCGCTGTAGAATCATTTTCGGAACATCTCAGCAAGTGTGGGAAAGCTGCCACCCTGCACACATGATGTTCCAACCTGCACTGGTTCGGTTCACGTGGGACCCACAGGTTCGCCCCAAGACGACCGACCACCTCCGGGCTGGACGTCCCAGGGGGGGGAGAGCGTCCCCAGAGACTCGTCTCACCACTTCCTCGTCTCACCAGGCACCGTCTCCACACGGAAACACCCAAGGGCGCTCGCCTGATCTTGAGCGCCCAAGCACCGCCCAGGTTCCGGGTGGACCCGGCCGGAGAGTGAGACAGACGAGAGTCAACGGCGACGTTAGACAAGCTGCCACCGGACCCACAGCGGATGGGTCAGGCCGGTCAACAGGATGTATTCCAACCAATGTGGACAGTCAGTAGACAGTCGATGAATAATCACCAAGCCTCCCATCTTCACAATGGTTCTATATCTCTAGATGGGGGGGGTTCAACATGTCACTCAATTAGAGAACGTGAGAGGTCTTCCAAAACCATGAGCGGCTGGCTTGTCGACGCCTTCCCAGAACATGTTTCTGTTATATACATGGTTCACATTTCCATGCGGAGTCCGCATCTCTTTAAAAAAAGAAGGTACAGAAGTCTCACAAAGAAAGAGACTGCCCATGGTGATGCGAAAGTCTACACATGGACTTTCCATCCACTCCCCAAACCCCCAAAAAGCCTACCACGCTGATCCCATGCAGAGAGCTCCTGGCCCACTCTCCACAGGTCTCAGCTCCCGGCCCACCGCCGGGCTCTGGGTGATCACGCGGTTGGGCAGGCGCCCGGGCCTTTCAGGACATGTGACTCTGCCGTTGTCCTCCATCTGTTGCCCTTCGCGGGAGATGCCCCCCCCCATCCCCCAACCAAGGCCGGTTTTGCAGGTGATCCACTGGTCCATGTGTAAAACCTCGTCCAAGGCCGGAACTTGGTTTCATCCACCGCCCAGGCACCGCATCCACCCGCGGCCCTCGCTTCCCCCCCGCTCCGCATCAGCGCGAAGTTCCAGGGCCGCCGTGCGACGAGGCGGAGCAGGAGTCGGGTGAAGGCTCCAAGGCCCCGGACGATGCCAGAGGAATATTCATGCTGCTGGTCATGCAGCGTCCTGCCACCCAGCCGTTTCTTGACCCGGAAGTGCAGTGAGGGTGAGGGTCACATGTCATTCCCCAGTGACAGAATACGGCGACACTCACAAGCCTCTTGCAAACACGCCCCTACTGAGACGGTGTCCTTTTGGGGCACCTAATTTGCGGGCCCCTAAGCATGTTCCACCTTCATTCATCACCACTTCCATCCTGTATCCTGTAAGGTGCACATCGTAGTTGGCGGTCGCTACGTTTGGTAGTTGGCGGCAAGAAAACGTCCCCCCAAGCCTGTCAGAGAAGACAAATCAAGAGGGCCTTTCCCTGAGAATCGGCCGCGAGAGCTGCGTGATCTAAGAGTGCGGGCGTGTAAAGACAAGACCACCTAGCTTCGGTCTTCATGGGGTTGGATGGGCACTACATGGCACTACAACTTCTGCATAGCTGGTTGTTCACAGTAACTATGGGCTTGGGACCTTGGGAGGTTATAAACTCTAAACCCCTGGGAAACAAAAGAAGAAACTGGAAGACAGCTTTCCTCCAAAATGCCCCGCTGCCCGACTGACATGGAGCATCTTCATTGTGTGTGTAGGTCCACTTGTAGGATCAGCTCCTTTGGGAGTTCCCCTTGCCAATCTGCAGGCCCACTGCCACTCCAAAGGCTCCTCCGGTAGGACCGACCGGCCACCAACCAAAACCCCCTCGAGCCAGTAAGGCAGCGGTTTTTTGGGGTTTGCTTTCCAGCATGGCGCACAGACATCACCTAGAAGCATCAAGCAATTGAGAGCACAGACATCGCATGCTGGAAGACTGCGTGGGAGGAAGCAAAGCTTGCTGCCGGATGATCAGCGCGGTGTCGGTGTCAGGGTCGATCTTGGGTGAAGCACCTTCCACTCAATCGTGAGGCGAGTTGGTCAGGGAAGGGAATCTGGAAGACAAAGCCACCACCTCCAGCCAACAACAACGCAAACCTAGACTTGCAAAACACTGCAGTCCCAAAACCAGAGCATGACACCAAACGACGGAAGCAAGTCTGTCATCTTTCTCCCAGCTGGCGGCATATCCGGGGAGCACGCCCAAGTCTTTTCAAAGCGCTTTGGCTTCGTGTTCGCTGCGCGGCGAAATGTACTCTGGCCACGTGGCTGCCACGTAGCTTCGTGTTGGCGGACTCGCAGAGACCGAACTGGCGCAATGCTGCAAACAGGTGAGGGAGCAGGAGAAAGATCCAATGAATTCCTTTGCGAGCCCCTCCCTACAGTCCTGTAGCACGGCTTTTTTTTGGATTGAACTCTCCCCAGACAGCCGATATGAGAATCAGGTCTCTCAATGTCTTTCATTTAGAAGGGCACTCCTGCAGAATGTGTCTACTAAAGCTGTGAAGAAACACAGGCCTCAACCAAGATGATTTCCACGTAACCGAGTCAAATCATGACTTTGGATTCCATCATCCAAACGTGAAGGTAACAAGAGCAAACGTGCTGGCAATAGTAGCGTCGTTACTAACCTTGGATGGAGAAAGTTTCCCAGAATCGCGAGCCCCACAGGCAGCACAAGCTTCTGTGACTTGATTTGGGCCTAGAACAACTCCCAGTAGGCCCACTTCCCGCGTCCCTATCCCTCCCATTTTGGGACGCCTAAAGCTCCTTCTTGGCGACCTTCACCTCTTCCTGCCAAGAAGACAATGCGGCTCAAACCAACGAAGCTAGAACCGAAATGCGAATTCTGGTCGGTTTCGAAACGGCTTTTGACCCACCCAGCGGAAAATGCTGGGCATATCCATATTCCCCTCCACAGAAATCATCGAAATGATTCACCAAGCACAGGCAGACTCTTTTTCCAGCATCCAAAACTTGAAGATTCAAAAGAGACTGAAAATCTAGACCAAATTCATCAAAGACTTTGCATGCAACTCTTTCACCGGCACGAGGCTGTACAAGCGCGCCATGCAATCATCTTCTCTGCCATGCTTAGCCGTAACAGCTTTTCCAAGTTGGAGGAAAAAACATGATATGATGTGATTAGTGGCCTTCAACGATCCAAAAGGCTGATGACACGATGCTACGTAACTCCATTCACCCTGGCGCGCTCTTCTGCCTTTGGACAGGCACTCCGTTAGGCTCCAAATGCACCCAAAAAGGAAGAAACACAAGTCGTGCTACATTTGTCCATCTCACGTTTTTGCAAGCCCAGGAACAAGGCATTCTGATGAAAGAAGGAGCTGTCAAACCAGAATCGTGCAATTCAGCAACTCCAAGAAGTTTAACCAGGTTTTCCACAAGGATCTTTCAAGTCTGCGTGGTTTGATTTCACTCGGATCCTAAAAGTGCCTCATTATGCTACTGGAGCTCGCTAGGATCCCCGTGACCCACTCCGGCTCCACTCTCAATGTCTCAGACAAGTGTTGAAAGCGAGGATCATCCCTCTTCGCCGAGAATGGTAGGATCAAGAGCTTCTCCTTCTGCTTCCTCTCCCTTCGCCTCATAAAACCACTTCCTCTCACATGGCGCTCCCGCCGTTCCAACGGCCGGTGTTCCGGAGGACTCACAGATCGACCGCCACGGCCATCCGGTGAGCTCCCCTCACTGTCCCACGCAAGCTGAGGGCTTGACCCCAAATCATCTATGCCATTCGGGGAGGTCGACCGGGTCGAAACCGTGGACGCAGAATCCGGTGATGGCTTCTGTCGTTCAAGCCTCGCAGAAAAGGTCCCCCCCGCGCGCGTCCCCGCACGGCTCGGGCGACGAAAATCGCTCCCGCTCGGCGGCGCCGGAGGCACCGCCGAAAGGCGCGAGGTCTGTGAGTGCATCACCAAGCCCTCGTCATTGGCGAACGGTTTGGACTGCCCCTCCACGGTCTCGGAACCTTCACACTCCAAGTGCGCCGTCCTCGCCTTCCGCGGGCTCCGCCGCGTGACCGGACACGGCGACTGGAGCAACGCCAGCGCGCGGCCCGCCGCCACACGGTGGGCCGCCAGGCGGCTGCCCCGCGCCGCCAGCGCCGGCGAGCCGCAGCGGACATGGTCGCCATCCGCGGCACCCGCTGGAGCCCAGCCGCCCAGCTCCATGGGAGGTCGCTGAAGGCCGGCGCCAACGCGGAGGGAGACCGTGAGCCAACGTGGAGCGTGCAACGCAGGATCGTGTGGCCCAACTACATCAACCAAAGGGGGTACAGATGAGGTGCGATGATCCCGGCACTTCGGACCTGCGCAACCAAAGGCATCGTGCTTCACTAAGAGATATCACACATCGATGGACATCGATGGACATCGGCCACATCGGCCTCCTCAGGATCGTCGTCATCCTCGGGTTCGAAGTCGAAGAACTTCACGTCGCTGGAGCCACAAATGTCCACCTCCCAGCCTCAGGTCGAAGCGTCCGACGGTTTTGCCCCCACCAGGCCTATGGGTTTGCCACAAACTGGAAAAAACTCAAACCACTAAGAGATAACAAAATCACCAGCAACGCGGGGAAGAAATTAATGAAACTAAGGAAAAACCAGGAAACCCACACATCACCAGAACAAGAGACAGAAAAGCTATAAGAGACCCGCGTTAAAACGATCCTACCCTCCCGCATTCCAAAACTATCCTTATCCTGCGTTCCAGAACGAACCCGGCGGTTCCTTGAAAAGGTGCCCCTAGGAGGCCCTAGGCCGCAAAATAGAGAACGGCCTGTTCCAACCCTATGCTGAACGGCCTGCGAGCCCTCAAAGGGGAACCAAGCCCCGAAAACCGAAAACAAAAAGTAACAAAAGAAAGCACATGAACCAGCAGTGCCCCGGTCACATCCACTCACTGGATGGGATTAAATAACACCACCCCCTTGGTGACTCCTGGTGGGCAACACCTTCGGTCTCCAAACCCCTGGCGCCTCCCAGGGCCCACCACCTGGGGGGCCAGGACAGAACGTCGCCAGGTCCTCACCCAACGTGAGGGCCTCGCGGTCATCGACTCCGCCGACGTCATCGACTCAGCACACGTCGCCGGGATCAACTCCTCACCACGTGTGCGCCACGTGGTCAAATGGTAGTTGGGAGGCTTGGCAACAAACAACTGGTTCATGCGCTGTTCCGGGGATTTGATGTGAAACTTTCTGGAGGGTTGCTTGGCAATTGGGGACTAAATCACACACCACTCACCGAAACAAATTCCAACACATCCAAAAAACACATCCGTTTGGGATAAGAGAATGGGCCGTTGAACGCCCCACGTGCTCAGCACGAACCCAACCCAAGTGTTGATACTCTTTTGGGTGGTGGTGGTCCTTGGTTCATCGCGGAACCGCGTCCATGTCTGTCCCACGCCTGCCTTCCCCCAACTGGCGGGAACGCATGCCATCTTTGAGCTTCCCCACATCAACCAGGCTCTCGCCAAAGGTCTCGAGAACATCGTCACACTCGAATTGCAACTGGGAACGGGTGATTTGTCGGTCCGACAGCGCCGCGAATACTTAATTTGTGATCAAGGATTGGAGAAGGATGGGGGTCCGGCGTGCAATGACCGAAAAAGGGCACTAGCCGTCACTAGCCTACAAACCCCAAAAGGAATCCAATCAGTACCAGTTGATGGCAGCGTTTTTGGCGGAACAAGCGCACCGCCTTGGAGGCCATGGATGGAGATAACACGAATGATTCATTGGAAAGGGCAGCTGTTCGAGTAAAGGTTCACCACCTGGCCAACCACGCTCTCTTGGAGGAGTATGAGTGCAAGCTGTCTGAAACACAGGCACTCAAGAACATGCGGGTGCCTCCCGGCCGGGCTATCAAAAAGAAAATTTAAAAAAAAATATTCTGCATCCTATCAAAAAAGTAATTAATATCAAAAACAAAAAATCCGTTCACAAAGAGCTGCGCCTGCCACTGCGAACCGCCTTGGCAGCACTGCGCGATGTGAATCTGGATGTGCAGATTTCCTAGCAGGCGCAGCACTTTGAGCGCCTTCAGTAGCAGATTTCGTGGCAGGAGCGGTACTTGGCGCACTGGAAGTGCAGATTTCGTGGCCAGCACAGCACTTTGAGCACCTCCAGTGGCAGGTTTTGTGGCAGGAGCAGCGCTTTGCGCATTGGAACTGCAGATTTCGTGGCAGGCGCAGCACAGTGAGCACCTTCCGTTGCAGGGCTCGTGGCAGGCGCAGCACCTTTTGCACTCGAACTGCAAGTTTCATTGCAGGCGCAGCACTTGAACCTCGAAGGGCAGATTGCGTGGCAGGCGCGGTTGCTCACAAAGCAAAGGCTTGCTACATTGGAATGGCAATTTATGCTCTAAATTTTACCTTGCAAGGCTAACAAAAGGTCTGCAACGTTGGAATGGTTCCTTCTTCTTCTAAATTTTGCCCTCAAGTGGCTGACAAAAGGTTTGCTTTGGAATGGCACCTTCTTCATTCAAATTTTACCGTCAGGGTGGCTCACCAAAAAATCTGCTACATCAGGTGATAAAATGTTTGCTACGGTGCTTCACAGGATGTATGACCAGATTTCCAAATCACCTTGAACGCGTCTTACCTCGAAAGTGCAGACCCAAGGACCCGAAGACCAGGACAAAGGACCAGAGGATGAGAGGACCAAGGGATCATTAGGACCAAGGGACCAAACAACCAAGGGACCAAAGGACCAAGGGACCGGAGGACCAAGCGATCAGGGAACCAAGGGACCAGACCAAGGGACCTGAGGACCAAGGGACCAGGAGACCAAGGGACCAGGCGACAAGGAGAGGACCAAGGGACCAGAGGACCAAGGGACGACCAAGGGACCAGGCGACCAAGGGACCACAGGAGCAAGGGACCAGAGGACCAAGGGACCAGAGGACCAAGGGACCAGGGGACTAAGGGACCAGGACAAAGGGAGCAAAGGACCAAGCGATCAGGGAACCAACAGGCCAGGACCAAAGGAGTAGAAGGTTTTTTTTGATACGATTTCTTTTTTGATTGGAAACAATTTTTCATTGATAAATATATTTTTTTTTTGGTAGGTAGGTATCCCGTGCTTCCCGGCGGGGGCAGAAAGACCAGCGTTGTTTCTTGGAATCCGCGTTGGCTTTTGGATCTGCAATTTTACCAACCCCCGGTGTACCAACCTCAAGCTTTGGCCACCAAAGCCGCCCCGCGCGGGCGCTCAGGCGCGCGCGGTTGGATGATGCAGAGTGTATCCCTTCGGATTCGGAAGCTGTGTCAGCGCATTCCTGCGGGACGTAAGCCAGGCGGCACAGGGTTGGAAGACACACGGCCTGCGTATGCCACACGAGGCTTTGCAAAGCTGAAATGGGTCACTCCCACCGCTATGCTGCGCACCTGTTGCAAACCTTCCGCGCCAAGACTTCCAACACCTTCTTTTCGGGAGCCTGCCAAATTTGGTCCAATGGCCCCTACTGGACCAGGGGAACACGACCAAAGGAACACTCACGAAGCTTCAACTGAGGCCCTCACTTGGCCCTGCGACCCGGCACAAATGTAGTGGTACGGACCTCAACCACCGACGTCCGAAGCGCTCGGACCTAAAACACCGAGACATTGGGAGTGCTAGGCATTGGGACCTTGGGGCCACTGCACATCTTAGCGCCAAAATCCCCGGCCCGTAGCATCCCATGGCCCAAGTGGACAGAACAACCGCACCGGTTCCACAAGCAGTTGCCAATGCAAAGTCCACTTCCAAAACCCTCAAATTTCGTGGCTTTCGCGGTCTTCGCCGTCGATCCGAGGAGCTCCCAGGCTTCGTGGTCTTCGCTTGCCTCCAAATGTCCCCAGCTTCCACGGCCAACTTCTGACCTCGCTGGGGCCAAACGGCCGAAGCGCCACGCGTACGCGGCGTGGTCGACTGAGGCGTATGAACCACGTGTGGTTTGTAAGAACGGCTGAACAGCCGCCGAACATGTATGTTCTGAACAACGTGGCCTCATGGCCCCTGCAACTCGCAACATTCCAGCAACCCCTCACTCATTGCCACAAGGTCACCTGCTGAGATTGCTGACGGAAGGACAGGTCACATGTGCTGGCCCGTCCAGCCATGCGCGGACACTGACAAGGAAGGAAAAAGTTCAAAGAGTGCAGGGCGATCCGAGGAAAGTACCGAGGTCGCATTTTGTTTGACCAAGGCAGAAATTCACGCTATATGTTTCCTTACACCTGCAACAAGCGCAACAATGCAGTCTTGGCCACCGAGGAAGACCAACCGAACATGTTCCAAGACCATTGCTGCGTTCGATTTTTTCCTGAACTAAACCCACAATAAATCACAATTGCATCCACGCACCGGATCACCAGTTACAAGGTGACACCGACGTCTTGGCGCACCAACAAACACAAGCAACGCACGCCAATTGCGGACAGAGCACGCAATTTAGAACCAAACACCATATTAGAAGTGGTTTGATAAACACCACGGCACAGTCCAATTGGGAAATCCAACTGTGGCATGTGTGTATTTCGTGACCTGCACAGGCCAAAGACCACTCATTAGCGAAAAACATTTACATGTTTAAGAAAAAAAATTGAATCCTTTTTTTTGATTCGATCTTTTGGGATGATTGTTGTTGCAGTCAGTAGTGGTGGTGGTGGTGGTGGTGGCGGTAGTAGTAGTAGTAATAGGAACAGCAATAGGAATAGGAGTAGTAGGAGTAGTAGTAGTAGTAGCAGTAGTAGCAGTAGTAGTAGTAGTAATAGTAGTAGTAGTAGTAGTAGGAATAGTAGAGGAATAAGAATAGTAGTCGTAGTAGTAGTAGTAGTAGTGGGAGTAGTAGTAGTAGTAGTAGTAGTAGTAGTAGTAGTAGTAGTAGCGGTAGTCGCAGTAGTAGCACTGGTAGCAGTCGTAGCAGTAGTAGCAGTAATAGCAGTAGTAGCAGTAGCAGTAACAGTAGCAGTAGCAGTAGCAGTAGTAATAGCAGTAGCAGTGGCAGTAGCAGTAGCAGTAGCAGTAGTAGTAGTAGTAGTAGTAGTAGTCGTACCAATACCAGTACCAGTCCCAGTACCACTAGTACTAGTGCTGGTACTGGTAGTAGTAGTAGTAGTAGTAGTAGTGGTAGTAGTAGTAGTAGTAGAAGTTGTTGTTGTGGTGGTGGTAGTAGTAGTAGTAGCAGTAGAAGTAACAGCAGCAGTAATAGTAGCAGCAGCAGCAGCAGCAGTAGTCGTCGTCGTCATCGTCGGCGGCGTTGTGGCAGCAAGGTAC